GGAAGGCAGACTGCTGAAGTGAAACGAAAAGCCGGAAACAGAAAGTAGGAAATCTGTTGAGGGCTGTGCTAAGGCCACCTTCCGAATCTTTTGTTCTTTTCTCATAGAAGAGATGTGAAAGAGAGGACATGTGTAGATTTTTTCATTCTTTACTTTTTTTTTTTCGGAGTCATCGTTAGTATATATGGAAATGTAGCAACTATTCCAGTTGCGTGTATTGGTATCACGTGACGATTCTATTTTTTTTGTTGGAAACATATATATACTTGTATTTTCTACTACTGGATTTGAAAAAAGCGTTCTAGCTCTTTCGGTTTTTTTTTTTTTTTTTCATGACTAGTGTAAAGAAGCTGATTTTATCCTTGATGGAGATCTGCAAACAAAGGTAACTGGATGCCTGGGGCTTAGGACAAATCATGTTCGGAGTCTCTTAAGAAAGGAAAAGGAGAAATGTAAAATCAAACGGTGTTCTTTTTTTGTCTTCAACAGTATCCCCGTCCCAACCAATATTTTAAGAATGGGTTTGGCCATTGACCCAGAAAAGGGACGAGTTAAACCGGGTACAATCCAGTGGTAAAAGGGGTTAAATAAATAAATAGAAACAAAATTTTGTACAGTGGAATTAGAATATGGTAGTAGAGTATACTAAAATTTGATTCTAAGGTCTTGTTTAGTATAGGTCTCAGAAAACTACCGGTTGGAATTAATATCACAATGAGGTCTAGTCTGTCTAAAGTATGTCCAATATAGTCGAGTCTACCTTACTGACCATGCAAATAGAATATAGACAGAATGGAAAGTAACTTGTATACCAAATGCCAACTTTATCATCTCCATTCAAGAAACCCTTCCATTCCGAACAACAAATCTTGCAGCAATATCCAGTACAAGAACTTACAATGTGAAGGATTGACTGGCAATTTGAAATCAATGACAATGCTAAACTTTGCTCCAATAAAAAATACCCGACTCCTGTACAGGGTAAGCTTGGAAAAGTCCGCTGGAGGGAGCTGGTGTTTAATAGAAGAGCAGGGGGATGGAAGATTGTATAACAGAATTGGTAGAGAAATTTCAGCATCTTATTGTATTTAATTGAATGTCCAGCACTGTATATCATGAAACTGCAACTTCAGTACTTGGATACGAGATGGAGAAACAATTGGAGGACAAACTTGTAAATAAGCCCTTGAGTTCTGGACACGGTTCGGGTGACACATTTATAGAGGAACCGAACACGTTTGAGCATACCCATGATGTGGAGTGGTCAGAGGTGACAGAGAAAGAAACATTTGACAAACATACGGAAGTGAAAGGAGATTCACTAATTCCATAAAATATCCCAGCTGTAGCAATATTCACACCGACCACGTCCATAAAGGAGATGCCACTAACCACTGGCAATGCATCAAGATCAAATCTGTCATCTGGATGAGATTTGCACTGACCTGTTGCCTTGATTCCTCTCTGTACATTTTCCATGAGCACGTCTGATACATATATGCCTTTGATATAGCCACCCCTTCCTCTTGCTGTCTTAAGCCCAATGCCAGTTGGGGAGTCGTGCACATGAAGGTGCTCGAGCAGTACACTGGATATGCCACCTGACATCTCACTGCCGAAAGCGATGCCCGATCCTGAAGAAGAATGCACACGAACCCCTCGAACATGAACATTAGAGGTCGGTTTTCCATAGGCAATTCCATACTCATCCCAACCACTTTTAAGTGCAATGGCATCATAACCTGTGCTAATGTCGCTGTTCTCAATGCAAACATACTCAGAAGAATCTGAAACACAGTTCAAGTTAAAGAAAATAGAAAAAATTAGACGAGTAAGAAGTGAAAATTTGAAATTTAACACCTAAGGACTCGTAATGGCATAATCACTTTTAATAACAACAGCATCATAAACCCACAAAAATTTACTGTTAGGGATGGAAACATTTTCGGAAGAATCTGAGCACTTCACATTGCAAGTTTTACTTTGCAGAGAAACATTAGAAGAGAACCCTGCCTCATGAATATCACAATTGGGTTCCCAAATTTTGTTTATAGCATTTGGGTCCCCAATGTTTCAAATTTGTAGAACTCAAATCTCTACTGGAAGGTTTCCGTCCCTTGGGCTTTAAAAGTCAAGCCAATGCACATGAAATAACGTTTGGGGGGTAATACAGGTAACAAAGTAAAGACCCATTATTTCAATGCATGGGAAGTGCTATGCGTACATAATGATGTACATAAAGTTTCACACCCCCCTCACATGGAGGGGGCCATAATCTACACAAAGTTTCACACCCCTTTCACATGAAGGGGACAAAGTTTCACATCCCCCTCACATCTACACAAAGTTTCACACCCCCCTCACATGAAGGGGACAAAGTTTCACATCCCCCTCACATGAAGGGGGCCCCCTTTATGTGAGGGGGGTGTGAAACTTTGTGTACACCACAAGGTGTACACACAGCATTTTCCTTCAATGCATTACACAGGCGGAACAAGAAAGGAAAAAATAGCAGTCCACCCATGTTACCTGCATTCCTCCGTCCACCTCTATCCCCCACCTGCTGCTTACCCACCCAACCCTCCATACCTGGTTTTGCCCCATTCCCCCTACCAGCTGCCTGGGAATGTCAGTTTGGGGAGGACGGAGAAGGGTCAGCGGGGGAGTGGTAGTGGGGAGGATTGTTCAATTTTATTTATTTTTTCCCCTTTTGAAATTCCTTTTCTTTTTTCGAATGGAAATTTGCAGCCCATTGGCCACAAAAAAATAAAAATAAAAAACTTGGATCCCAATTGCAAGTAGGGACAAGCTCTTTCCCCAGAGTCTTCACCGAAGCTGACAGTAAGAGCGCAGCCGAGTTGGAGCCATGGATTCGCAGCAAAAAAGTAAAGAAAAAGTTCCATAACTCTTCAAAGTAAACTCTTGCATGTGCGATAGGGTGTATAAAAAGTCAAAATAAAACGTATCCATTTGAACATTCGAAGTTTATCCCACAAGAAATCATGGAATTATTCAGATTTAGATTTCAACGGACCTGGGACTATTCCACTAGCTAATGGGGCATCAGGTGGAGAATAAATTGTTACATTCTGAACCAACACCTTCCTGCATCACATTGCATTAAAAAACAAAAGAGTAACACTTGAGTACATTGATCTAGAGATAATCTTCAAATAGCAATTAAAAATATGAAATATAGAAATTCAACCAAGCCACCTGCAATAAGCAAAATGAATGTTCCAAGCAGGTGCATTTAAGAAGGTTAAGTTTGCGATAACAATGTTGTTTGAACCAATGAATTCCACTAAATTTGGTCGACTGTAATTTAGAGAATGAGCAGCGAATTGTTCCCACCAAATGGAGCCTTGGCCATCAATTGTTCCATTATTGCCTGCATAATTGGTAGAAGATAGGGAAAATTGCACAAGAATGGCAATATTGAATTGCAAAGATATGGGAAAAAGGGGAATTTGGTGAGTTACAGGAGGAATACCTACCTGTTATCACAACATCAGTTAAATTATTTCCTGTAATTAAGCTGCCATATCTTCTATCATGTAGCTCAATACCTCGGCCATAAGACGGTAAAGGTTCGACTACATCCCAGTAACTATGATCCTACAAAAGTGAGGAGAAAACTTTTAAAAATACTCTAATCCCAGTAGAAAAAAAGTAATGTCGAATTCATAGAGCAACTCTTGTCAGCAAAAAACTTACAGCAGAAACAACACAATTTAGTGACACATTGACGGAATTCATTTTAATTTTAAAAAAAAAAAAAAAAATTCCAATCTACCTCAACATTTTTCTATTAAGATGTCTTTTAGGAAAAGAAATTAAATCAATCAGGAAGATAGAGGTTCTAAATTTGCAACGTGGCAAAAATCGAAGGAATGACCATGCAAATAAAATCTGCAGAAGGTTTTGATTAGAACCTGGATATTTACATCTCCTTGAGGAGAAATAGTGAGAAAAAAATAACCAGGATAGGCAAGGCATTTTTATTCTGCTTAATCAAGAGCACACCCAATGAGGTGTTTCAATTGGAAAGAGGAAGACCAACTCGAGAATGAATTATCCAATCATACTTCTGTGGTGATTATAACAAATTCAGGCAGCTTAAAGAGAAAAATAGCACTCTCTTCATAAACTAATGGGCGGCCAAAATTCCTTTCGTTAAGAAATATGATAGATTTCTATAGTAGAATGATAACCTGAGAGCCAAGAATGATCGCATCTTTTTCCAGGAAAAGTGTCAGATAACTCGTAAGGTTGATGCTTCCAGTAAGCCACCGTCCCTTGGGTACATAAAGTTGGGCACCACCTTTGTCAGCAAACGACTGCGAATAGAAAATGGCATTTTGAAATGCGACAGTGTTTAATGTTTGCCCATCCCCGACGGCCCCAAATTCCAAAACAGAAACGGTGTGAAGTCTGGGAGTTAACGGCGGAATAGATTCGCATTCTCCTTCGTATTCTGCGGCATAACTCAATGCCACGAGCAAAAGAAAAATCACCTGAAAAGAGAGAAGACAGAAAGAAAAGGTTAAAGAGCAGTTCATAAATAGACATAACATTTGGATATCACTGGACTGAATATCAAACATGCACCCAATGTATTATCTCGTATACTGCCACGCATAACGATTATAATTCAACAAAACAACAAGTCGGAGTACAGATAACACAATCAGATAACAAAATGCAAACAACAAGATCCGTGTCTTAAAAATAAATACGGAATGTTGGATTTGGAAAGCGCTATAAGAAAAGAGTAACGGTAGAGAGCTCAGAAAGAGTACAGAACTAGATCCCAACAACTAACATTAATGTATATGAGTACAAATGATTACTTTCACCCTTATTATAAACACAGATCATTCCTTTCGTTGCCAAAAAAGAGCCTTGTATTTACCAAAAAAAAACATGGCTTAAATCTAGTATTCAATAATTAGTTGTCTCTAATAGACAATGTAGACAAATTAATTGGCACCCACACCCCAACTAAAAAACCCCCAAGATCAAATGAAACTTCACATGTACTGCACCAGCATCAAAACCAATCCATAATGCTGCAACCAAAAATCAACACTCAAATCAATTTTTATGCAAATATAAAACAACACAAGCTTGGTTACACATACAACTTGATGGTACAATGAACAAGAATTTAGTTTCTTTTTCTGTCTTAGTACCTTAAAGTTCACATTACCAAACAATGCATATCAATATAAGATTAACATTACCTAATAGGAAGCTACCAATTCAATAAAGGAAAAAACACTCTATTATAATTGAAGAAACCTTTGATCAATGAAATTCACTAAATAACCTACGTACTTACTAGCTTCTGCATAACTTTTTTCTTCTCTCTGATTCAAACCCACACCTCAAAAACCCCTTCAACTGCACATTAAACTGGGAAGAAAAACAAAGAAAAGGGTAAAATTACACAGATGAAATTTACTGTAAAATACAAAAAATTCTGCTGAGTTAAATGAAGATTTAAGTAAATTATATTTGGGAAAGTGAGACAAATATGAAAAATCAAATAATTTTGGAAAGTGAGACAAGAATTATACTTACTTCTCAATTAAATTCCATGATTATGAGCCATTAATCACTCCCTGTGATTTCTATCAAACGGGTATGTGCCCACAGTTAAATACTATGGAAAAAATCTTGCCTTTAGAATAGCCTCGATGAGTTCGCAAGATAATACTTGAACGCCGGCCTGCCATTGGGTGGGGAGTGGGGTGGGGTCTGATTCTTGGTTCTAAGTTTGAACTGTTGTAGTGCCTCATGTCTCTCGTGGCCCATGTTGTCTGTATGTTCCTAATTGCAGTCAAACTTCATTTAGTCCCACGTCTTTCCCGCAGCTTAATCACTGCCTGCGTATTTAGGTAGATTATTAGCAAATAAAGTAATAAAAATTGGATTGTCTCATAAAATGCATGATTAAAAGTGGATAAAAGTCGTTGATAGAATAAAATATGTGGTTAAAGTGAAGTTTGACCAACTTTTAACAAAAAGTAACTATTCCAAATAAGCCTAAAAAACTTTTGCAGGTCGCGGAAAGGATGAAGGAGTAATGTCGTGTGGAATGGAGATGGTATGTGATTCATGAACTTCCTTTTTGGGAGAAGAAACGATGTCAGAAAAATAACTATCGACTAATTTTGTATCAGTGATTGAGGAGATATTGTTACACTTCTTATGGAAAGGCTCTAGATCAACACTTACGTGGTTGCCAACCGTAAATAAGTAGGGTCCACATCCCCACGTATCTTTTACTGAACTGCCAAGGAGACATGGTTCTTATCTATGTACGCGAAATCGAGCCTCTGAGATGATACACCTTGGAAGACAGTAGGAAGGAGCGGTACTGTTGGGGGGCATGACACAACGCTTCGTTTGCGTCTAATAGGTGATCTTTTGTATAAAGATCTAGTCAAAATAAGATCCACCTGATTGATTGATGTAATGTTTGAACAGCAACAGCAACACCAACAAATCAAATCACAAAATTCACTCATTAGGGGCCATTAAATCCCCGTCAACGTATGGACTGACTGATTGATGTCTAAGAAAGGACGTTTTGCCTGGAAGATGAGGTCACATGTTCCTCCATCCAACGGTCCCAAGTCCACCCATTCTACCATTTGAAAGGCAATGTAACTCTACACTAAAATACACTTTGTTTTGCTACATTCGAATCAATGTCGTTACTCTCTTTCCCTTCAACGTTAACCAACTTGACCGTCGAAGTACTCGCGGTCGTCTCCACTACCACCTGAAAAGGCCACGAGTAGTTAAGGGTTTGTTGTTATAATAGAAGTCATCCATGTGGAGTGTTTACTTGTTGGCCACGTGATTCTTACGAAAATTGCGGTCAACAATTATCGCCGTCTGTAAAAAACCACACATAATGGGATCATCCTCATTGACAAAGTGATGGAGATCGAGGTGGTCAAGGTGCTGACCAAGTTGATGCTCCCAAATTTTCTGAAAATCCTTTGTACGGAATTGACGGTCCAATGACTAG